GCGTCTGGCCAACTCTATTAAAGAGAAATAAATGAATTTAGTTAGAGATGGTCAATGGCTGCCATTGAGTGCGAGAGAGAGGTACAAATATGTAGCTAAAAGTCGCAATTTGTTCGTGAATTTAGCACTAAAACTAGAAGAACGAATTCCGCTTTTGGTAAGTCTTTGCCAACCCCGATAAACATAAGTCGAACTTCGAGTTTTGTATACAGACTCCAAGCTTCAATCTTAATTATAATTTAGGGTTTTGTTCCAATATTTATCACATTTTCTTTGTATCTTCTGTTGCCCATCGCTAGCTCTCTTTTGATTCGTTTTATTTTGTGGCAAATAAGCAGAAAATCGTTTGCCAAAAATGTTGTCAACCACGGAAATGGAAATGACCAGCCAAGGCTCATGGCTGGGTCCGAGTCCAAGCAATGTTACCCCCACCCCCCCAAAAAGTGGAACCGAGACACTGGCTGAACCCCAACCCAGCCACTTCTTTGATAGTTTTGCTGTTTACGCAAGATGACAAAGGAGAAGAAGGAGCTGCAAGCCCGAGGAGGGGTTATATATAGCTCACCGTTAGATATATGGTAATGGCATTCGGGGTTTTGGCCATGGAAAAGCGTTTTCCCCCTGCGCAACTTTGGGCCAGCCACTTTTCCAGCGATATCTTTGGGTTGTCATCAAAAAGGCGAACGACTGCCAGACGGCTAAGAGGAGCAGAAGGACTTGCTGAATTTTTGGGCTACAGCCAAATTACTCCAAAAAAACTGTTTGAAGATGAGACAAAGCGGGTGGCAGAGAGAGATTTCGAATTGAAAATGAATGACAACTCGATCCCCCTCTCTGCGTGGTCTTAACTTTTGCATTGCCAGCAAAATTCTAATGAACTTCAATGGGTTTCCCATTGCCATTTCGATTGCTGTGAATCGAATTTACATTTTTGAGCCATACAATTCGCTGCTTGAGGACTGACTGGCTCCACGCTGTATCGGTGGCTGACCGCAAGAAAACTACGGCCCAAATGCCGTTTCTTAATTAAGAGAACTGAGCGGAGAAAGGATCTCTGCTTATTACAAGTTTTTAATGCACTCTTCCGGAGCAGAACAAAAGGATTTTGCTGCTTAAACCAATTCAGCAAAGTGGGCAATTTTAATCTGTACTTTTGCGACAAATGCCAGGGAAATCTATGGGCAAAGGAGAGGCAGAGAGCGAGAGAGAGAGTGTTGCATTTGACCCACTCAAGAGGATGGCAAATAAAATAAACTGAAACTGAAATAGCAAAAGGCTTTTGCGGGGCAACACAAACAACAAAATGTGCAAAAGTATAATTTCCAAATAGGATATGGCCTGCAGTAGGGGTGGGGTGTGGGGCCAGGGATAAACGAAGCGATGACTTACATAAACAGGGGGTTGGGGCTGTGGTTGGGGTTTGGACAAACAAAAATGACACAACACACAGAGAGAGAGTGAGGAAAGTGGACCAAGGGGGGAGGCACCGGTAGCTGGGAGGAGGATCGAGGGGCAGCTGATTCCAGCAACTGGCAACTTAAACGAGCATCCGAAAGGATTTTGTGTACAATTTCCGTTTTATGACTCTCCAGAGTGGCAATAAATCTCACACAAAACTATTTCCGTTGCATTCGAGCTGCTGCTGCTTAGTCCACTCACATGCAACGTTTCGGCTGAGCAGTGGCAAGAGGAGAGCGCCAAGAGGAGTGGCACGAAGAGCAGAGACGACCCATAGAGTGGTAGCGCCATTGCTGCACATTATCTTGTGCGCAAATCCGAAAAATCCAAATCCATTCACTATAAATGGCGGTCGTCTGGCTGCGGCCTTTCATTTTGGCGGGCTCTCGGGCTCTCGGGCTCTGGGGGTCTCGGGTCATTGTCGGCCAGCAGCAGGGACAGGGACTGGGGCTACACCCAGTGACTGCTGCTGGCAGTTGGCTCTGCCATTGCCCTGGCCTCTGCCTGCTTATGATTCGTCTGCGTCGCGTGTTTTGTGTTGGGCACCGTGGCACGTACGCCCTGGGATCTTGTTGCAGTCTCAGTCTACATCTTCAGCTGCCGCTCTTTTAGATGTTCAAACGATTTCCGTTGGTTTGTCTTTGAGCTGAGTGCGCTTTTAGTGCGGCATCCGTTCGGGCCAAAAGACCGTACCAAAAGTTATGAAATTCCAGCAGCAAATAAAAGAAAAAATAAGAGTAATAATAAGAGAAGAACTGACAGGGCAGCCGAGTGATTTGCAAGTCAATTTGTCAAACATTCTGGCGGTTCGGGCTTCCTCTCTTTTTGCTCCCATCATTAGCGCCAAAGTCACGATTTGACTTTATTGAAAGCACTTGAATTTAATGTGCGTGGAAATTATGCCTGACGCTGCTCCCTGTGTATCCTGGCAGCATAATTTTCGCATAATCCTTTTGCTGCAGCGCTGCCTTCTTTGCTTTTTACATTTTTCATTTGCTGGGGCGTATACGTAACGTGTAATTTCACTGCATTTGCATGTTTTATAAGACAGCGCTCGCACTCTCTCTCTCTGCTTGTCCGACTAACATAATCTATGTTGGCTCCTGCCTCTCTCTCGTTCTCCATTTTTAGTTGGGATTTTCATTTTCTTCATTTTTGCCAGCTCTCGTGCAAAGTTTTATTGACAGTAAACGTGGGCGATACGAAAAACTAAAAGTTTTTGCCTCGCTCTTGGGGATTTCTCAAACACACACACACACACACACTCCTCCTGCTTTTACGTTCGATATCTAACGTGTAAGGGCAAACATTTCTGTGCCTTGGTCTCTGTGATTCGTAAAACAAAAGCGAAAACATTTCATAAAATCGAAAACATGTTCTGTGCTGTTGTTGCAAGTGTTTAAAACTGAAACTTTTTACACGTGTCCAGCATGCGAGTTGCCCCCCCAAACCCCCCTAAACAATAAAATTTTTGCACCCGTAATAAAGGCAAAATAAAAAAAAAAAAAACAAATACTTTGAGTTGCATTTTTGGGTTATTTGCTTATTGTGGGCCAAAAATAACTTTTACCCTGCTTATGGCAGAGAAAACTTTAGCCCACACGTGTGAGCCAGAAATAACTTGGATTAGATTTCTGGCCATAAGTGTAGCTGCAGTTTAGTGAAGTTTGTGGCTTATGCTGCGAAGCAGGAGTGAAACTAATCTGCCATGAAGTTGGAAGAGCTGGCAAAAAAGATGAACCCAACATTCAGTGACTTGTAATTGAAAACCACTAACGAGGTTCAATCCGCCAGTCAGCGGGCTGAGCTGCCAAAACATCTCAAACAGCTAATTAACGCCGCAGCAGGGATAGATTGTCAGAGCGGAAGACATTGCAGTTGACAAAAGAGACTGAAACTATGCTGGAAAAAGATATAGATACGCGCAGATAGACAGATAGTCATGCGGTGGTGGCAGCCCGCAGCCGAAGTTCATTAGGCGCAGCTGTCTGTGTGTCTTTTTGGCCAACGTTTACGTTTCAGTGGCGCTGGGGGAAACGCTGCGTATGCGTAATTTATGCCGCACAGGAGAGGATACGGATACGGATGCGGATGCGGATACGGCTAGGCAGGCACACACACGAAGAGGCTGGTGTTTGCTCAACTGCTAAACGAAATGCTAATGCGGTAAACTAAATGCAAAAACCATTTTAATTAGCACGAAAATCATTGTAACTCGTTAAGTTGCGCAGCTGCCATGGCCAGGATGCCACAAAAACAGAGAGGGAGAGAGGGAGAGACAGAGTCAGGCAGACCTACGTGGGCCAAGTCCAGCGACAGAAGTGTAAGAGGAGCCGCAGCCGAAGCCGGAACTTACCTTTTGCTCTTTTTTTGCATTTTTTCTCAGTTCTTTTTTTGTTGGCATAATGTTTGCAATGTCCAGGGCCAGGGCAGCGCAGTGCTGTACCTACGCTGATGAAGCGATAATATTGTGATCACGTTCGGCAACCTGCTGAAATGTAAATAGCGAGGAGAGAGCACAACTTCAGGGACGGGTTCGGTGTCTGTCTCTTATGTAATGTCAGCCAGCGCCACTCTAATGAAACGTTCATTAATCAGGAGAACAGGAGCGAACTACTTTCGTGGGATTTATCCAGCTAGAGCTGAATGTGTGCCTTCGAAAACTGACAATGCCAAGTGGCAAGTGGCAAGTGGCAACACTTGGGACTGTCGGGGCAGCCACGAGGCCCTGCACTGCGAGACAATTACTCAGCGCTCATTCGAAAGTGGAATCAGTGCGATTTGTGTGATTTCTTGCAGTGCAGAGTGCGAGTGTCCCTGGTAGTTAGTTAATTAATATTCCCGTTGCCGCACGTTTCATGTTTGCATTAATTTGGCAGGTAACTTGTCAACATTGTTGTTGCCGCTAACGCTGCTTGGGCCTCCCCTTGGCCAAGGCTTTTGTCTAACAAGCTGCACACCACAGACAGACAGAGAGGCAGGAGCCTTAGAGACAGTCAGCAGAGTCAGGGAAGAGGCCGGAGCACCGCGCATGTGGCTTTTCATGTACGAGTATGTTGCCTGCCTTGTAATTAGCTCCGATCGAAGTGATTTAATTACTTGAGCAAACTTTTAACATTGTCTACATGGCATACAAAAACTTGGCTGCATAATCAGCCCTAGTCCCAGTCCGGGAGTCAAGTCAAGACGTTTGCCTTTGCCTTTGCCTGTTATCGATATTAGTATTATGTGTGTGCCAGTTTGCCGGATAAGAATCTCAAAGCTGATGCGAAATGAATGTAATTAAAGTTTTGCCAATTGCCAGGCTGCTAATTAAGCGATTTGCCCACAAGATGCGACTCTAGAGCAGAGCCTGGTGAAACATCAGCTAATCAGGCTTATTTGTGCCGCTACATGGGCTGGGGCCATGTTTGACATGACTTTTATTAAAAGCGACAAAAAAAAAAACACAGCAGCGGCATCCCAAACCCAAATTCAAAACCAAAAGCCCAACCCGTAGCCCTGCTCAGTGAGTGTTATGCCGTGCTTTGTGGCTTCACATGTACAAGTAATCTAATTAGTTTTATGCTAATTAGCACGCGGCTTTAATTTAATAAATTATTATAGCGCATTATTTGGACCAAAAACTGCGCGAGGAACAATGTAGAGAGTACGGCCATGGGGGGAGGCGTCTGACATGGAAATGTTTACGACTAAAGCACGGACTGAGTGTGTGTGTGTGTGTGTGTAGAGATTAACTTTAAGAGTACATTAAAATTTCAAACATTGGACTGGATTTTTGGTTAAATGTTTCCCAAATGGCTGGCTTCTGTTCTTTTATAGATTGTAGGCACGTCGCATGACCAAATCGAAGTACGCATCATTGTCAATCGAGGCGCTGATGGTGGAGTAATAGTTGATAAATTCCTCCTTGGTGACCACGCCATCGGGATTCGGGGCGCCAGCCTCAAAGTTCTTCAGGAACTCGCGCAGAATCTCCGATTTGGTCATCTCGCCGCTCAAGTACTTGGGATGATCCTTCACCGAGTAGAGATTCGTGAGATCCGATTCGGTTATTTGGCCATCCTCATTGACATCCATTTTGTCGAAGGCTTTTTCAATAATGTTCAAGCGACTCTCGTTCATGGGTGGCTAAAGGGCCGGAGGGAGGGAGGGAGGGAGGGAGGGTGGTAGAGAATATTTCATATGCAAGTTTTTTGTGCCAACTTACGCGCAATTTGTCCAAAAATTCAGTCATATTAATGTTGCCACTGCCATCGGCATCAAAGCTGTGGGGCGCATAATTTTATGTTTATTTTTGTTAACACTTTTAAGGCAGTTTCTTCACTTACCGCGCAAACATTTCGGCAACTTCCGAGTCGGTCACATCCAGTCCCACATCTGAGATTCCCTTTTTGAACTCCTCGGGACTGAGCGTCTGGCTGCCATCATCATCCATCACACGAAAGGCTCTGCGCAAATAGTTAGGCAAAAGTATATATATCCACGTAATGCTCGAAAAATGAAAATACATTTATATTATTGCAAAATGGACAAAGGCATGGAGAGACGAGAGCAGGGATAAGAATATGCCATTGATGCCGGGGAGGAGCAAGCAAGCAGCCGCCCCATTCAGCTACGATGCCCATTCAATGTATTGAATTTTCCGGATGGCAAACAAACAAATTGCATAAATACAAATGAAAATGCGCGCTGCACACACACACAAACACACACTCACACACACACACACACACACACATATGTTGCATATTCAGAACGGGGCAAAAATTGTTAGCAGACAAGAACCGCGCGGTCGCTGCATGTCCATGTGAGCTACAAATTGAAATAAAAACTAACAGTGGGCCCCGCTCTGCCCCCTGCTCTATACCTTTGCTCTGTGGATTGATGAGGTTCGAGGGTGGTGGGGCAACTAGAGAGAAATCCAATTATGTTTGTTTGCATTCAGTCAGCGATTTTTGCCACCAGCCACTGGGAGGGAGGCTCTGCAGCAGCCTCCTCCTGCTCCACGTCTCCGCCACCGCTTCCGCCTCTGTTTCTGCTTCTGTTTCTGTCAGCAGCCCACAGTGCTCTGTGTTATATTTTTTTTTTTGCCTGCTGCACACACTTGAAAGAGCTTTCGAGAATGTTAGTTCAACATGCACTCGAACCCAACTCGTACTCGTATTTACATGCGCCCCTCGGAAACTTGCGAGCGAGTAACATCATCATCAGAGGCAGTGGCGGCAGCAGGAGCAGCTGCAGGATCTGCAGGCGCAGCAGCATCACCAACACCACGGCAAAGTTTCAGTTTCATTTGCCAGATTTTTGCAGGCCAAACCATCTTCACCTTGCGCCGCTCTCTCTCTCTATCTCGCCACTTGTCCGGCACTCAACAATTTCATCATTTTAATATACTCGGCTCGAAGCCGGGTCCAGCCTCTGCCATGTTGCCGAACTCCAGCCCATGGCAAAGGAAAAAGAATATAACAGAATGTAGAATGTAGAATATATCTCTGCTGCAACATGTGTGTGTGTGTGTGTGTGTGCAGGGATAAAAATAAATTGGCTAAAGCTCAGCCATACCCTGGATGAGCGGCCAGAGGTAGAGATGATGGAGCTGCCAGCAACTTAATTGATGTGTCGGCCATGGGGAAGTGAGTTTAAAGCGAAAATATGCAGCTCACGAGAGAGTTTTTAAAGAGTTTTCTAAGGCAATTAGGGGCAGAAGTTTGCCACAGACTTAGCCACCAAAAAATGCACAAATTTCGCCAAACAAACACCCGAAAAATAACCTAGAAAGTCAGCCAAAACTCAGGCCTAACCGAATTTTGGGCGCTTTCAAAGTTCAACCACTGACTCACCTGGACAAGCCCAAGATGCCAGTGGCGCCACGGCTGAAGCACTGCAGTCGCAATTTGTAAATTGGATCCTTGTCGAGGCCATTGGCCAGCTCACGTTTGGCCATATTCTGCAGTGTGGCCTCCTTCGTATAACCATTCTCGCGTTGCATCTGCCATAAAGAAATTTCAAGAGATTAATGATCAGAAAATTACACAATTTGCATACCTTTGATATGCTCTCCATTGTTGTTAGATTTAAATGAATGAAATTGTAATTGAAAGTCTCTAAATATTATGCTTGCCGCTGCCTGCTTTTTCCGTTGAATTCTATTTGAATTTTTAGTTTAATATATTTTTGCGGCCTTCTCTGACTGACTGAATTGAAGGGAAATATTTGTGTAGGTGGAAAAATCAACAGCAACTTGATCTGGGAATTTTGTTTAGCTTAATTACATTTCATTTCACTTTGTTGTGTGTCTGAAACGGAGCCTAAGCCTGAGCTCGAGCCTGTCAAATCTGCCCCTTGGCTATGCGTGAATTTTGTTTGATTTTACTGCGCTAATTTTTGTACAATAATTGTCTGCTCAACAAGTACTAGGAGTACTTCTACTCAGCTCATAGCCGCGAGCTATGACAGCGCCTAGGAATTGATTTACAAAGTGGGTTTGGCGGCGTGTGCTTTTAATTATGCCAAGTCTGAGTCGCTAGGTAAAGCCTCGGCCAAGCCGCTGTGTAATTTGCCTCATCTATTTGCATTTTAAATGAATCATAACCAAATATGTCGCTGTTGCCCCACAAATTCACGCTTCAGCAGCAGCAGCAGAAGGCTTGCCCGCGTGCCCCACTTTGAGCCAATTATTTTAGGCAAGGAATTTTGCCAGCTAAAATGTGAATTATAGCAGTCACACCTAAGGAAATACCTTCCAACAATTATGGTTAGGCCTTGGGGTGTGTGTGTGTGTGTGATCCCTGAACTCTGACCAGCTGGCACTTGGCCTAATGAACTGTGACAACTTGTGGGGGGCCAACTACTTAGTTGGATTAGCGCTCAATGTGCACTCAACTCAATATTTTACGCATGACATCATATTAATAATAGTCTTGTGTCTTGTATTTATGCATAAGTAAATCGAAAGCAGCGCATCAAAGTATAATAAGCAAAACAAAAGCCTGATTTCTTTGATTTATTGACTCTTAAAGCGCTGCCAGCCCTGAGTTGTCATAAAAGTGAGTTGCGAGTTGTGTAATTGTGAAGGCGGAGCAGCAGTATTTGTCTATCAAATCAATAACATTGATTGCGAATAGACTGTCAGGATATATAGAGAGAGGAAACCCAGCTTAGAGCAACGTTTCAGGGCCATGGAAATTACATCGATTGTTGGGATTTGAATAAGTGCATGAAAAAATCCAAAAGCTTGTATTTGAAGGTATATTTAAGGCTATATTTAAGGGTATATTTAAGGGTTTATACAAGTTTACATTTGCGCTCGTATTGCCTCTGCGATGACCCCCTTAGATAGTCCCTAATGGGTGCTCTGAGTAATGAACATTTGCTCTAATTAGGCAACCCCCCAGGTGGGGACTTTAGTGTCCTTTTGTGGGACATGCACCTCAATCATTGGACACGCCATCTAGTCACGTTTTAGTCACAGTTGGTAGTCACTTTTGCTGTCACTTTTGGGTGACTAGGAGAAAAGCTTTTTGGGTGTCTGCCCGAGCTGGCAACAAATGTTGCGGGCAACAACTGCAGCGGCAGCAGGAAACTGCAGCATCCTTGCCGGGTGTCAAGGTCGTCGCTGTATCGATTTGGCCAGAGTGAAAATCGACTTATAAAGTAGCCAGCTAAGAAAGGATAAAGAGTGAGCTGAAGAAGAGGGGCAAAAGCAGATGGAACATGAAACATAAATGATGGCTTTATTGGGAGTACGCCGTAAGGGTAAGAGTAAGGGTTGTGGTTGGGGTTGGGGTTGGGGGGGTGTAAACAAAAAGACAATTTAACACGTCAGCAGGACGACGCTGAGTGCGAGAGTCGCAGGGATAATGGCAGGGATACGGGGGGCATCCCGGACCAACACTCGAAAGACAGCAAATAAAGCAAATAGGTCACGTTCAAAGACAACATCGATTAACCATAAATTGCGAGTCAAGCAAAAGGCAGGACACCAAGGGCAATGGAGCAGAGACAAAGACAGCGCCGGAGGCTGGGAACAAGCTTGGGTTTAGGCATGATTTGTGCGTGTCTTTATGACATGGAACACACTCGCAACTGGGCCAGATACAGATACATTTTGCAGATGAAAACGCTGATGACGACTCCGCTTACTTCGCTAACAAGCAAAAGTATCGGCCACCTACTGTCAGTGACACCGCCAGCTGTCGGGGGAACAGCCAACGCAGCAAAAAAGGCGACAAAAAAAAAAGGAAAAGCTGGCACTGGAACTGGAACTGGAACTGGAACTGGGACCACTGACAGCCAGCGTGTGTGGTGTGTGTGTGTGTGTTGGGAAAAACTTTCACAATAATTAACAGACATGTCGATTATTTCTTTGGCTTACTTTTTACCTTTTCCTGGCAGCTGCTGACGTGTGGTACGCTGTCGTTCTCGGTATCTCTCTCCTTTCTATTGTATTTTATGCTTGAAAATGTTTCAACTTTTTGTGTGCTTTGTCACTAATACAATATGGAACTTTGCACGCACCTCGCACGTGTCGCGTGTGCCGAGTATTGCCAACGAATGGGGCTCCGCTCACTCAAGTCAGGCAGCCGCTCAGCCGCTCTGCCGTTGCAGCCCCACACCCACACAGCCACAATCCACAGCCATAGCCATAAGCGGCGTCCTACGGAAACTACTGGCAGACACCCAGCAGCGGGTTGGGGTTGTGGTTGTGGTTGGGTGGCGATTGCAAAGAAAAGCTTGGCAACCAATCGCCCCACCGAGAATGCATAGATACATTTTTATAAGAGCTTTTGCGGCGCGTCGCTCATTTGTTTAGATACATTCCCCTTCCCCTATCCCTTTTTGTTGTCAATTTTATTATTATAACCCTCTGTCGCAGAAGTATATCTCGTTCTTTTTATGACACGACACGGCATTATCATTACCGCCCTGTTTTTTTTCTCTTTTTTTTTTTGTGCTGGTGTCGCGGAGTGCATAAAATTTATGCCCGCATATCAGGACTCCCCCCGTTGAAGCCAAAATTGATGTGCGCTTTATGATTTGTATTTTCCTTTCACTGTCATACACTTTCAGGGGGCATTAGCGATTTTTTAAGCAAGCTGTGAAGTTAAACACAGATTTTGGTTAAAGTTTATGCATTTAGGGGTGGTTTTTGGTGTATTTGCCATTTAAAGATTATTTTGGAATGTTTTTTAGACAAGTTTAATAATATTAGAGTTGAATCTACACTGCACAAAATTTGTTTTTCATATACATTTTTGTCTCTTTTTAATTATATTTTTTTAGCAAAGAATAAATAAATTATTACTTTAAAAAATCAATGAAAATCCATAATAAATCTTTATCAGTGTTTAATTTTATTTTTTTAGCCCAAAACAAAACCAATTTACTTCGAGAAATCAAACAAGCTCAATAGGAAATTTTGTATCGGTATTTCACTATTTTTTTTAGCAAAGAACAAATCAATTTTTTTTTTTGTTAATCAAATCTATTTACTAATAAATCTGTAGCTCTATTTGACACATTTTTAAGCTACCAACAAATCAAATACTCTCTCAAAAAGTTAATGCAATGCCAAAAAATATATTTTTACTCTATTAAGTAATTTTTGTAGCTAAGTAAAAATTAAATAATCCCCACAAAAATCTCAATTTAACTAGTGTATTCCACTCTTCGTTGCCTCTTTTCTCCACTTACCGCACATTGACACGGCTGATTTGATTGTAGACATTGTTTGTGGGAACTTTATGATGATACGACTAACAAGACTTATTACGATTGGAACCATGGAACGAATCATGAGGCAGGAGTAGTTTTTTTTTAGTGGGAAAGGGAATAATGGAACACAAATTGAACACATTTCGAGCCGCTTTTAGTTATGTTTACGTCTTTCTGGGATAGCAAATTGATTTACTTCTGGTTCCGCTTTTGTTTTTAAAGATTTTTCAGCACTTGCTTTTAATTTCAAGAAATCTTTTCTTGGCAATTTTTTGTAATTTTCTACGCACATTTCTCACTGGGAGCTAATGATGCAATTTCTGCACTCATGTGGTCCATGCGTATAAGTAAGAAAAATGGCACCATCAACCAGTGTGTCCACCCCTTTTTGGCCCACTGTCAACGCTGCCACGCTCCGTAGGAGTTTTCCAGCTTTTCCATGTGTGTTTGTGTGCTGTGTACGTGGCTCGCTGCTTTTTACTGTCAACTACATTTTGTCAAATTACTTATGCAAATCCTTCAACTTTTACAAGCGCCACATCCCCTCTTTTTTTGTCACGGCGAAGAAGCTCGTTTAGTGTTGCTGCTCCTCAAGTTATATTCGCTGAGAAAAATTACGCTCAAAGCCTGACATGAAGTGGCAGTGTCGCTGCTCATATCTGAGGTCCGTCACTGCCCATTCATAACTGTGGTGTGGTGGGGGGACGACTGACACTGACTGGCTGGCTGCATTGTCGGAGGTCTGCTAAAAACCTATTTTGAATACCGCAACACGGCAACAAAGTGTTGGCCAGGCATGCCAGGTATTAGGACCAACAAAGTTGCCAGCCAGGGGAGACAGGGAGCTATCAGGGAGCTGTGTCGCCGTGTAGCCATGGCTCCTTGTCGCCAGGGCCAGGCTCTTGCAATTCTTGGGGCCACCTCTTTGGCGGGGCTTTGGGCGCTTATAAAATAAATAAAATTTATGCTGTGACGCATTATTGCCTTGTCCTTTGTACCGTACCCCCACCCTGTTCCGTGTCCTGGTCCTGCGCTGCAGTCACTAAAGTTTCTGGTTTTTTGTTGTATTTAAAAGATGACAAATCGTTGCCCAACCAGGTGCGGGTGGGAGTGGAAAAACTTTGTCACTGAAACTCATTTTGTGGCACTGATAAATTTTCTCGTCTATAAAAATGTTTTTTTTTGCAAATTTCTTGCCCTCGGACTAGCGGTTCAAGGAGTTTGCTCTTCATCGAACTGAAAGTTGTACGAAATTTTGAATTTTCTTTGAGTATAATTTGAGTTTTCTTTTGCCATACTTTGGATGAACAAAAACAAAATGGAAGCTTGTATCTTTGGCACAAAGTAGCGTCTTTTTGGGCAGTGTATTT